CCCCACTCCCCCCTTTTCCAACACCAGGCCCAGGGGTCCCAGCATTGCGGGAGGGTCCCTGCACTGGGGGTGGTCCTGGCCTTGCCCTCCCCGACCCACCTCTGCCTTCCTCCAGCTCAGCTCCTGCCCAAAGCAGCCGTAACAGCACCCTCCCCGCTCCAGCCACCCCCATGAGCAGCACGCGGCTTGTGCCCCTGTGGGGGACCCACGGTGGGAGGGGTGAGGGGGTGGCTCACACCCCCTATAACCCTTGGGAGGGGCAAGACTCTGCATTTTGGGGAGTGGGCAGGGTACAGGCAGGGTGGGTGCAGGCAGGACTCACTCATTAGGCAGGTCTGCAGGAGTGGGTTCAGGCAGGGGTTGCAGGGGTACAGAGGGTGCAGGGTAGGTACAGGGAGGACTCAACCCTCAGGCGGGGCTGCAGGAAGGGGTGCAGGGCACAGGGGGTGCAGGATGCAGGCAGGGGTCCAGGCAGGATCTTAGGCAGGGCTGCAGGGGGGTGCAGGGGTCACAGGCAGGGCACAAGTGAGGGGTGCAGGCAGGGTCCAGGGGGTGCAGGCCAATTTGTACACCACTTCTATTGAAGGAGATGATTCCTCCTGAAGGAGACGCTTTCTGTGTTTAATCAGGACTAGTATTAAGTATATTAATGTAGTGAGAAATAGTTTAATTCTAGACTCTTCTATTAGATCCGTGGCCTGCTGCTTCCTCTGTATAGGCTGTGTACAAGTCCAGTTAGTGAAATTACAGTTGCTTCAGCGTCAAAGCAAAAAATCAAACACAAGAATATTAAAATCTAATCTTCTGCTCTTCATTTAAAGCTCTTCTGCTGAGACAAAAATACAATGTAATTCAAAATACAGGCAAAAATGTGGGGGAAGTTAAAACAAGTCAAAGTAGCTCAGCTGTTTTTAATTTAACCAGTTACCTTCTGAAATTCCTCAGAATGGTTAACAAAGCCTGAAGAAAATGGGGACAATCCTAATGGCTTGGAGGTTTGCCATATACTTTTAATATTTAAAAAGGGTAAAAAGGCGACCCAGAACATTACTGGACTCTTTGCTTGATGTCAGTTCTGGTAAAAGTCACAGGACAGTTAATTCAAGACTGTACGAGCAAAGAGTTAGACGCTGAAACTATAGTTCACGGCAGTCAGTGGGTTTTGTGGGAGGTACCTTTAGTTAAAGAAAGGGCATGTTCTTTTTTGGTGGCTGGCTGACTTAGTGTCATATGGCCCTGTGAGGGAGAAAACCTGCCCTGGGCAGAATACAGAGGTTGACTGTGAGATGGATTAAAACCTGCCTGTGGTGTTTAGTCTCTCGAGATAGTTGAAGTAGGAAAAAAAGCAAGAGGCAGCTAAATTCTGGGTGAGCTTTCCTTTGCCTTTGCTCTTGTACAGGAGAGGTCCTTCACGGACAAAGCTCCGTTCAGGGCCTTGCAGTGGGGCTTCTGGCAGTTTGAGGAGTCCCCCCAGCGCTGGAGTGACTGGTGAAATGGTGGGGTGTCAGGGGAGAGGTCGGAGGACAAAAGGCACCGTGCTAAGAGGTAGAAGGGGCTGTGATGTAAACTCCAAATGTTTGTAATGTGTAGAGGGGAGGGGAAAAAAACCCAACAAGCTCAGGGTGGAGGCCAGGAGGAAACACGATGTGATGGAGCCAGTGGGGAGAAGATGCAATCATTCAAAACAGGGCTTTTTTTTGTATCAACGTGCTGCAGAAATCATTCAGTGACCCCTCCAAAAAAGAATGATTTAGTGAAGAAGTTGTAAAAATTGTGTATAAACTAAGTTACCCGGTTAGTTACAACAGAAATCATTAAACTGACAGCTCAAAAAATAGCACAAAATATTACCCAGCAATAGCAGGTTGGTGTGCAGGACTGATTCTTGGGGATGGCTTTTGCTTTGCTCACTCTCCAAAGCTCCTCGAACTCCTGCAGCATGCACCTGGACTGTGTCCGGCCCGCGATGAGCTGCTGCCACGCAGTGGGCAATGGAGGCGGGAGACTGGGTTCCTTGGACAGCCCTTCCAGCCACACTGGTGAGGAAATACAGAAGCCGTTCTCAGAAAAACTTGTAGGAATTTATTAAAATAATTTTTTTTAAAGTGCTCGATGGGCATGCTGACAGTGTTACAAACAGTCCCAAACTGTTACACATGTGGTGTTGAAGGGTAAAACTGTGCTGAAGGGAGGGTATAGCTGAAGGGTTATAGCTCAGTTGTGGTGCTTCAGGTGCTCTGGGTGGCAGAGAAGATGAGTTGTGGGAGCTGGAAGAAGATGAGAACCGTTAAAACAGGAGAAGTGATGGTGTTGAAGAGTGACAGTGAGGGAAACGGTGAAAGAAGAAACCCAAAATATATATAATATGCAAAAAATATTAGTGGAAAAATCTTTATTCAATAAGTATATAAAGACAACAGGTAAACAACTGAAAAAAATCTTTTTCCTATATAGCATTTTGGAGGGTATTACTTTAAAATCAAGAACGTTCACCTTTCAGCTCCATACAGACAGACGACCTCTGAGTGAGCAGTGCTGCACTTTGCAGATGCTGCCGTGCAGGTACCAATGGGTGATGAAATGCACACTGAAATGCCAAGAAAACAGAACTTCTGTTGTGATCTTGAGCCCTGGCTTTAGACAAAGGTTAAGGCTCAGTTACAAACTCATCCTCTTCACCCTCTCAACAAACACAGAACGTGAATTTTTACACAAAGTCCTTGGACTAGGACCTACATAGTGCTACTTGTAAACAAAGTGGTAATAAATCTTCACAGAGTGTAAAACAGCACAGCCTAACACTATTTGAGTTATAAGTTTAACACTTACTTAGTGTAAAGGTGAATAATCTGAGCCCGGTTGTTTTGGTTTTGTTTTTTTTGAAAATTAATACTACAGAACTGGAGTGGGGGGGGGAAAGGGCCAGAAATATAACACTAAATATATGAGTTTATTTTAACTAATATAACTTCAAGACAGACTGCTCAGCAAAGGCTGTTTACAATCCAACGTCTCATTTATGGCTTTTTGAAATAAAACCTCTAACTATCCTTTAAAGGAAGCCTATGCTATGGGTAGCGACTCAAGTCATATATTTTTTAAAATTTCACAGAGAACAGACAATTATATTCTTTGTTCCAGCTGAATTCTTTCTTCATTCCAGCTGAAATGATGTACCATGTCAGGAAATTCATTTAATAGATGTATAGAAAGAGCGAGGGAGGTGCCTACAGATTATGCATACAAGTGTAGAAAAGCTCTGTTGGTTTGAGGTGATGTGTAAAACCTGGCTAACTCAATACCCACTTTTAAAATAAAAGTTCATGGAGTTGCCCCTCATGAACGAAAATGTGCGTTAAAAGGTTTGTTCTTGAAGAGTGATTGCACATCACAAAGAGGTACAGCAGGCATTTCAGAGTACATGCAGAAAGCACCCATTTCTGTTCAGCGGCTTAGCAAAGTCAAAGCAGAACCACTCTGTAGTGGCTTTAAGACAAGTCCTAAATCCAGACAAGTAGTGTTTGTTTGCCTCGTTAATGAACGAAACACGACATTAATCCAAAACCAAGTGCAGTCCAGTTGTTTAAAGTTCTTTGGGGAAAAAAAAAAAAAGTAAATCCAAAATAGGTAATCCACTGGTGTGGAACAAGTGCAAAAAAATAAATTTACTGGCTGTGTGACAGGAATACACACACTTGCAGTTTCTGCTGTCTCCAGCGATGAGTGTTCTGTTTGTTCCTTCTTCATGAATGTATATGTCTCCTGGAGGCAGCAACTGCTCCTGGCCTTCAATTCACAACGACACTTCTGGCAGACCATTGCTGTCATCAGTTGTCATGTCCTCTGGGGCACTCTCTTGGTTCACATCCACTGTGGCACTCTCTTGGCTCATGTCCTCTGGGGCACACTCTTGGTTCACGCCGAACAGTGTCAAGTCTGTTCCTCTGCAAGTCTAAAAAAAAAAAAAAAAGTTTAGATGTTCTTCTTCTGTCTAATACTGGCACAAAGGAAAATGTTTTCTCACAAAAAGAGTTGGCTTGTGTGGTGTTCTTAAGACAAACGTTGCAGTCCTGTCTTCCCCGCTAGCTGAGGCTCTTACCTTCCACGGCTAATATGCAAAATGAAAACAAAACCCAACAACAACAACAAAACTGGCAACAAATCCCAGTCTGTACTCTCCGGTAAACACATGGCTGTTAGTCCAGATATGGCTGCAAGGGAGGAGAGATGCATCGCTAGCTTTGCATTTCAGCCTCCACGTTGAACACTGATACATTCACCTGCTGGGATTCTCTCACTGGTTGGTAGTGATGGTGCACTGCTCCACCAGCTCCCCTCCCTGCACCTTGGCACCCTCACAGTGTAATACTGCCCAGCCTGTTGCTCTGACAGCCCTGTTTGGCAGTTCTGGGGAATGTGAGGCTCTTCACTTCTACCTGCTTCTTGACCAGAGCTTTTCTCCGCAGGATGAAATCAAAGTTCACGCGGCTGTTCATGGCGTAGAACACGTTGGCGTTGTCTGGGAGCACCAGCTCTGCAAGAGAGGGACCAGAGCAAGGGTTTATCAGCAGGATTGCACGCAGCAGAAGGAAAGCCAGGAGAGAACAGGGACCGGGTGAACAGACAGAGCATACGCAGCCAGGCAGTGCTGGGCCCCTTCCCTCCTCCTGCTGAGTCAGGTGGCACCCACAGCAGCTGTTCCACAAAAAAAGGGGAGCAGGGTTGAAAAGGAGAGGAGATGGAGGCAACAAGTCCATGGCATTTCTAACGTTGCTTCACATGTTACTCTTGCCTTCAAAAGCCAGCAGAACTTCTTCCTACCTTTGTCCTCAGAGATGACCTGTACAAGCTCATAATCCTCAACTGCATCATAGTCCAGGTTGTACTTGACCAGAGCGCTCTGGATGACAGCAGGAGTTCGGTCTTGGCTAGTTAGCTGGAAAGAGAAGAGTTGCAAACAGAGGTTCTGCTGCTTGGCTCTGTGTAGCGATTTAGTAATTAGCAAAAGCTTGCCTTTCTGCAGCCCACTTGGCCTTGGGAAAGATTTCAGAGAACTGAAGAAATATAACGCGTCGGTAACAAAGGAGTAGGTAGTGCTAGATACTAAAATGTGGTATTTCTGGCATTCAGTGTTTGTTTTCTTTTCGTTCAAGATGACAGATACTGTCCTAGAAGAGAGAGCAGTAAATCACAGCGTCGGCTCTCCTGAGCAAACATGTGGAGAGATGAGATGTTGTTCTCAGTAGCCATAAAAGTGCAGATAAATAACTGACTGATCTGTTGTCTGCAAACATCAATTCACCTGTAGGCTCCTGTGCTAAATACTTCCTTTGACATCCTGCAAAGATTTTGGGCCATGTAACTGGGTTCACTGCTGTGGAAGTGCTGTACAGCTGGAGCAGACACGGGGCTCCCTCCAGAGACTTATGTGGGCAAAAGGAAGATTTGTCTCCCCAGTAGCTGAATGTGTCAATCCCTTGGGAAGGGCTTTTTGCAATTTGGGGAGGCCAGATCATTAAAATCATAAGGGAGCTAAAGGTGCTGAGAACTACCCCTGTGTGGTTGTTGCCTCGAGGGACCCTGAGGACTGGCTCAGCAGCTGAGTCTCCATGAGGTGGCTACAGGGATCAAGTGCGGGCGAGTCGCGGCACCCACAGTCCAGGACAGGCCCTGCACACCCTCAGCCACCGGCCTGGCACTGCCGGAATCCACCGTGGGACCAGCAGCGAGGGAAACACCTGAACGCTGGGCGCTGCTGCTGTGGCAGCCTCTGTCATACAGAGAAGCTGCATAATTAAAGGTGTCATCAGCTTCCTCGCGTACAGCTCCCTGCTCCCAGAAATCAGCTCCTGGAGGAAGCTTCTGCAGGCAAAACTTGCGTCAAAACTCGCATACAAATTCCAAGCTAAAGTAAAAGCAGCTAGTGCTGGCAGAAGGGCAGGAGCAGCAAAGTCTGTGCTTGATCAAAGTGCTTCCCTTTCAACTGGTTGATAAAATGAAAACTTGAATTTAAAGACCAGAGACTTCCACAGAGATGCTACTTTCAAACCTCTCCTTCATACCATGCTCCACATACTTTGGATTGTAACAACTTTTCTCTTTCCAGCCAGCTTCAATTCGTTGGCTCAGCAAATGGATGTTTTCAAAACTGCAAGCCCCACTTGTTTAAGTCACCCTGGTTGAAAACATCACCACCACTAACAGCAGTTTGCTGTTCTACCCCACTCACCAGGATGCTCTTGTACAAAGTGCTGCTGTTGGCTTCGGTGCTGATGCGGATGATGCACCGGTCATGGATCTGCTGGTTGTAAACAGGAGATGGCACTTCTGAGGTAGCAGGTGCCACAGCAGCAGAGCCCTCGTCGTTGGAGGAAAATGATGGAGTGGCTAAGATTACATGTGATACCCACATGGAAGATGTGTCTGTGGAATCAGGGGAATAACTGGAGGAGTCAGAGGATTCCAATTCAGACAGCTAAACAACAGAAAGAAAGAAAAACACTGGCATAAACCGGACATTTTTGTCTGCATGTGGCATTCTGGAGGAAGAAGTTGGGGAATCAAAAAGGAGAGTCAAAAGCTCACTCTGCTCTTAATTCCAATTCCATTTGCCTGATGCTGCGCGCCGCTTGCTCTTGTCTCAGTGAGAGCAGGCCAGGAGGTGGCAGCAGATGCAAGGACCGGAATCAGGTTGTGGGCACCCAGCCAGGGACTGGGAGCAGCTGGGAAAGAGCAGAGGGCACCACAGGCACCGCTGCTCCTGTTGCGGCTTGAAGCCTTTACACGAATGAAAACTCACATAAGCCTCCTTGTTGGCCATGTCTCCCAGAATATTCTTTCCTCGATGGAAACTGCCCCCTCCTTCCCCTGCTGCTCAAGGCTTTGCCTTTCTCTTCATCTGCCTCGCTCAAAAACTGCTGGGACATCTTCCCTCTCCAGCCTGGTCATCAAAATCACCGTAACAACTGCCCCAGCTAAGCTGTTCAAATGACTTATGGATGCCAGTGCTTTGACCTCGTGCTTCATTTGGTTTAAGAACATTCAGTACAATTCCATTTCAAATATCCATGGGCTAAACCCCGATAGAACACTCTTTAGTGGTGATGTAGTCTTAATCCTCTTCTCCGTGTCACTGCTAACATCATGCTGCCACATGCGACAAGCAAGCGTGATGCTCGGGCTCCTCACCCTGCTTCCCACAGGTTCCAAGGTGGCAACGTCGTGAGCCTGCCCCATCCCTCTTAAAAAGCACAATGAGGGACTGAAAGAAAAATTAACCTCGTGCTTCTCCACGGCCTCACTTTCACAAAAAACACTGCCAGGCGCAAGAGAAGCTGGTTTCAGAGATGGAGAACTTCAGTCTGCCTTGTACCTCAGTAACATAGAAGGGACTGTACAAAAATCCTGACTGGTTTGCTTCCGTTTTCACACATTTATCTCTATGGTCTCTCCATTCCACTAAAAGCAATGTTCTAGGCCAAGACCAACAGGCTTAGGCAAGCACCATGGGCCTGCTTGCAGTGTCCACCATTTCTCACAGGCTAGTTATGCTGGCAACAAGGCCCAGCCCATGTCCATACCTTCTGCAGAGGGTCACCAGGAGTGTATAGAGGGCTGATGTCGGTGTTCCCTGCTTCCCATTCATTAGACTCACACAACGAAACACTGGCCGAGTCTGTGCTTTCACCAGAGCTCCCATCTGGAGTAGGTGGGGGCTGCTTTTTGGTGGATGTGCTCTGGAGGATCACCTCGGAGCTTAGAAACAGCCTAGTATGGAAAAGAAAGCATAAATGCCAGTAAGTGAAAGCAGAAGAGAGCTGGGCTGAGCAAAGCTGTCACTTGGTTCAAAAACTGTAACATATTGTTTTGTTCTCCTATCTCGAGTGGCCTATTGCCTTCATTTCCTCCGTGGGGTTTATACGATTTGTCAGAAGAGTTTGTTACGCGCTAACACAAGACCTTCTTGAACTAGTGTACCCATCAGCTGCAAGGCCAAAATCAGAGCTAATGCTCCCGTATCACAAACAAGACTCTTTTTTGGTCGGTTCAATTTTCATGCTCATTTGCCAGGAAATAATTGATTGCAAACCTGACGGGTTTACAAATGAAGGGACAAGGGGCAAGTTCGAGGCCCAGCAGCTCCTGGACACTGCTGTCACACCCTGGTCCCTCTGACACAAGGCAGCTCAAGACCTAGTTGGTCTTTAACCTTCTTGGAAAGAGAAAGAGCACATGAAAGGTAATGCATAGTCATATACTGGGCAAAGATCTTCAAAAGGCAAATTCACCCCCATGCAGATTCTTTCCCTTAATAAAGGTGCCACAGACACCAGCTGCTCTTTAAGAGTCTGAGTGGACATGTACACCACAAGGAGATCACAAGAAAGTGTAAATTATAGGCACAGCTTCTCCGAGACTCATTTCTAAATGCAGGTCAAGTACATTTAAAGGCGTGTCAAAGGAAACAAACTTGTCTAATATATAAAGGAGAGAAGCTAGGTGAATTAGATGCTATGTCAGCATGCAGTTAATGATCTAAAACAATTTAGAGATGTGTCCGTCCCTCACTGTTGCCAGGATGAATTATGCCAGGCTTTTCTACAGCATTAATTTGCAAAATACAGTCAGAGTGCAGATGAAACCGTTCTTTAGACCAAGGCTGCACAGTGCAAACAAACTCGCTATGGTAAATTACAATATGACACCACCGAGATGCCATCAGAAATGAGAGAATAAAGCCTGTGCTCCGCAGTGACAACTCTTATGCATGGCTTCAGCACGTGCCAAGGGAGGCACAAATGAGAAGCCACCAAGAGTTCAGGCACTGTCACCTTCAAAGCTCATGTTCTGGTAACATCACCAACTCGAATGGATTAATGGAAACACTTTCCAAAAAGCTGCCCAGATCTTTTTTTCTTTTTTTTTTTTTGCATACTGAACTCAAACCAAGCAGGAAAGGAGAGTGAAGAGTCGATAGTGCTGTTAAATTCATCACTCCCCTCTCATCTTGATCATGCCACTGGTATGTGAGAGTCCCTTCATATCTCTGCTGGCATCATATTTCATCAAATTATCTGGTCAAATTTCTCACGTTCAAGATATTTTTACTTTGGTCTTTGATCTCTGCTGTAATTCCCTGCATCTTACCCTGAATTCCTGCTAGTCTGTTGTTTCCCGTGTCTGCCTAGCTGCAGGCTTGTTTCTTTCTAATCTCTTTCATCATCAATAATCCTCATGGAGCAGCCTCAGATACAAGTATGCATTTCTAGCCGATGGTGTCTCCTTAAAGTAATGCAGTGGTCTGGATCCCCAGCCAGGTTTTCCAGCTGAGGAAATGGGTACTGCTTGTTTGAATTATTCAGGTTCACATGACCACACCAGATGCCCCTTGTCCCCTCATACTCACTGGCTGAGCCTCTTCACCATGCTTTTCTGAGGTTTTGGCGACGTGCTGATGGTGTCAGAAGCAGCTTCAACCTCACGTGAAAGTCTGTCGCTGCAGAACAGAGGCCATTGGGTTAATGGTTACAGACTGCTATCGTTAGTTAAATAACTCAAAGTAGCAATATTCAAGAAAGTTGAGAAACCTTCAGCTATTCCCACTTCACAGAAGATTGCAACTCCACAGAGGAACATAGCCCTGTCCACATTTTACCATGGTGAAGGGGATATTTTCACTTCTTTATGGTAGTTTCAAAACCTAGTGCTTTTGTGGATGACATTCATTATTTTCTTTAGGAAAAAAAAATAAATCAAGAATTTACTTAACACGTGAATCTTAGATAGGCTGACATTTTTTGGACTCTGACTCAGTATAATCTGTGCTTGCACTCTTAGTGCAGCAGAGTGGAGATACTAAAATGCTGTAAATAAATTGTCTTGGGTTGGTCTGGCAGCATGTGCAGTAGCACAGAATTCAGCAGGGCTGTAAAACCCACCCCACAGCATCCAGCAAGCTCCGAGTCGCCTTGGCTACCTGCTGCCTGCATCCACCAGCCGCACACTCAGTGACTGCATCTTGAAGCCCTTTAGGGGCAGCCCAGACACAACAGACTATCCTAGTTCAGAGTCAGAAGCCTGATTGCCAATCTCAAAACTAAACCCTGCAGAGCATTCAACAGGTTTTGTACAGCTGTTCAGCAGAAGGCAGCTGCATTTCCACTCTCCTGGAGCAGCAGTGTGTGGAAGTTCCTGTAAGAGGGCAGTTAAGGCTGACAGAAGCTCCCTGCAGGTGGCTGTGGGGTGAGAAAAAGCTGCTTCGCCAGCTGGATTGAGAACTCACCTCTCCTCCTCCGTTAAATACTGCTGTTTCTTGAACCACTGGATGAATTTTTGGTCTGGCGTCAGGCAGTAGCTGTTGCATGCAGATTGCAAGAGCTTGATCTGGGCGATTACTTCAAATTCCTAAGAAAATAAATGATCAATTAGAAATTCTAATTAGAAAACGAGATAAAGCCAAACCAACTCATTCATTCACTGAACGCATGCAACAACAGATCCAGGACAAACTTAGTTTACAACTGTTGCATACGCACTTGGCCAAAATAACTCTTAAAACCCCCATGTGTTAGAGTCGCTTGGAGAATCAGGATGCAGGAATGGAGCTGAGGACTCAGCGTGGTTCAGAGGGCAGCTTTGCCACTGGTTTGTATGAAGCTGGGCTGATGAACACTGAAAACTTGTAATTGTTGTTCTTAGTAACCTGGGCTGTACAGTTATACATACAAGTCCAAGAAGTGGTTTGTAGAGCTGGGAGCAGTTAAGGGAAGGAAATGGCTCCATCATAGCCAAATCTAACTTTGCTTCTAGACCCCAGAACGGAGATTTGGAACAACTTCAGTCAGCTGCAACCCTAGTACTTTTAGTTCCACATAGCATTACTTATCTCTGCCCAGCGAGGATCAGGCTGAAAGGAAAGACTGATAGCATTTAATTCTCCATCCCATGAGTTTGCTCACTGCAGCCTTTTACCTACAAATAGTTTACTGCAGAAGAAGGAAGAGCTTTACAAGCTGTGTTCTGGAAAGCAAAGTTCTCATGCCACCAGGTCTGATTTAACACATAGGACAATGTAAGGTATTCCCATGGACGTGGATACCAACCAGAGGGAATGGGCATGACCCATTTTGGGGGGGAGTGTTGATCTGCTTGAGGGCAGGAAGCCTCTGCAGAGGGACCTGGACAGGC